TTATTATGATTGATTGTTCGACCATCTACTACTGTAATATAAATTCTTTATAATTAAAAATTACTCTACTTTTTAGTTTGGTTAGCTATAAACGCGTGTTTTTTTAGCTTTCTTAAATTACTATTTATTCGTGAGGTTCTTGTCATATAACATCTGGTTACAATACCACATCGCCAGTAGGCGTGGGAAGTAAAACGAAATCTGGAGCCTTTAAATGTTTCGACCCTAACATGAATCCATAAAAAACATACAGAATTAAAGATTGTTCTAAGCTAATAGATTCGCTATCAATTTACCGATTTTCAAAACTAGTTAAAATGCAGTGGCTTCTGCAATAACGCGGTTACAAAAACTTACAGAGGACAGGCTAGCAAAACGAAATGAGGTGAATATTAGCCTAGATCGGATAAGTGCTTTAGTTTTCATTTTCTAGTAGGCTTAAACAGAGTCGAGAATGTTCTACGGTGGGGGTGGTTATATAAAGTAATTCTCAGCTATCATTGCGCAAATTACAACGAAAATGTCCAACACTGTTTACTGTACTAGTACCATCCCCCAAGTTTGGTGTTTGAGTTTAATACGATGACTGCGACAGTGTACTGCCATCAACTTGGAATTGTTTATTGAATTGAATTATTATTATTTTTCTCCTTGCCTGTTCTTAGCCTTAACGTGTTAAGTGTACCTGATAAAAATTACTGGAGCTGAATTGGCAAATCTGTATTTCAGATTTCAGTTTCTATCGATCACTCTGTAATTTACATTTGCGGTAAAAAACTTGTTAATGATAAAGATGACTTCTTTAAATCCAAACCAGCGGAGTTTTTCAGCGATTCCATCTCCAGTCTTTGCCTAATAGCTCACGAACAGTAATAGATTATACTGAAGCAAGGACATCTCAGAGGAAAACAACCTTTAACATAACGATAAAAAAAGGTTTTCCAAGCTTGGACCTTCTTCTGACATACTTCCAGTCAACATTGAATTTCCATTAATAACTATATGTCCGTTTTAATTTGATAAGATTCTTTTGAGTAGCAATACCATTGAATCATAATTCTTCAAGGTCTTTCGTCAACCGATGGTATTCAATCTTCTTCTCTTTATTGGACATCGGTCTGCCATTCGGTATCTCCCACGTGCAGATTATTCTGTCATCTACGGAGGTGTAAATTAAATATGGGACAAAGACGTTATTCATGTGTTAAGAAAACATGACACCATTATGGACCATTGCTTCATCTGAGCTTTGGCGTTGTTCCGAACGATCTGACAACTCGGCAACGGAAAGGTTTCACAACCATGGATATACGAGTACAAGCGGGAAATAAATTGAGCGGATATGGGTATGGTAAGGCGATGAACGTGAGATTTCTTGGATACATTAGCTACTTTACATCAATTTTTTCTTCTACAGATCTGCCACTGTATATTTATGGACTCTAAATTGTCACATAACTGTCCGTTTCCTCTTCTCATTCAGTGTAGTGGAATTTGTTCTTCGTAATGAGAAGAAATAACTCAAGATACAATTTGATAGTTCACTTAGAGAAATGAAGCCTTTCTTTTTTTGATACATGATAATGATGAACACGGAAACTTTCGATTTATTACAGAAAAATAACTGAGTAAGCCTTTTGTTGTTATACATATATACGAGTATATATACAGGGTGTCCCAGAAGTCGACGTCAAGCCGAAACCGGGTGATAGGCAAAGTCATAACAGCTATCAGAAAAATATTTAAAAAAATTTTATGTATGTGTTTTGAAAATTATAGGTCTTTGAAAAAGATATAGAAATTTCACACCCTACAGCAGTCTGCCAACTCCTGTTACTACAAATATTAACTTTTTTTGGATTTTATTTTTACAATGTAATGATGAATAATGCATCTTCAAACTGGTGTCTCAGCCTTACTGCCAACTTTTCTCGTTCAGGAAAAATTGCCACTTGTTTCCCAACCAAGTATTCCAAAGTAAAACTTTGCTCAACTTTAATTGGCTGTACTGGAAAACAAATGTACTACGAGAGTTTGGCAAGTAACCTTAAAAGTTGGCGCATTTAAGGATTCCAAAATGGTATAACACTTAGAAGATTACTCGTTAACTTATGCACAATTTTTATTTGATGAAAAACTGATGAAAATTTTTCAAAATTTCCTAATTAAACAGCGATTATGAAAACGCACAAGGACATCCATACCACATACAGCATGTTCAACCTCTCCTGCCCCGGGATTATGAGCTTCGAGTTGCTTTTTGTCGCACAATGTTAGAAAGACACAGGAAAGAACCACAGTTCTTTGAAAAAATTTTATGGTCGGATGAGACCACATATAAGAAAGATGGGTACATGAACCTGCATAACTTGCACGAGTGGCACGTAGCAAACCCACATTTGATGAGAGAAGATAAATCTCAATATCGCTTCAAGATAAACCATTGGACAGGAATTTTAAATGGTAAAATAATCGGTCCGTTTGAGTTTCCAGAGACTTTGACTGCTGAAGTTTATTTGGATTTTTTGAAAAATCATGTACAAAATTTATTGGTGGACGTGCTACTGAGTATTTACAGGGACATGTGGTTTCATCATGATGGTTGCCCAGCGCACTATGCACTCTCAGTGAGAGAGTATCTCGATCCAAACTTTCCAGGCAGATGGATCAGGCGGTCTGGTACAATACCGTGGCCAGCCCGATCACCTGATTTGAATCCTTTAGATGTTTTTACTGGGGAACTGTAAAAGAAAAAGTGTATATTTCAAGCTGATTCAAAATGTAGCTGAGCTACGGCAAAGTCTATTGGAAGCAGCTGAGTTTGTTAATAACCGTCGTTTCGCTCGTTTAATAACCCTATCTTTTTTAAGAAGATGTCGAGCGTGTATTGCTGCTGAAGGAAAACAGTTTGAGCATTTGCTCTAAAGTAAATCATCATCAGCAGCATTTTGACGCCCACTGTTGTGCAAACAGTTATCCTTAAGGGTCCTTGTGCGTTTTCATAATCGCTGTTTAATTAGGAAATTTTGAAAAAATTTCATCAGTTTTTTTTCAAATAAAAATTTTGCATAAGTTGACGAGTAATCTTCTAAGTGTTATACCATTTTGGAATCGTTATTAAATGCGCCAACTTTTAAGGTTACTTGCCAAACTCTCGTAGTACATTTTTTCCAGTACAGCCAGTTAAAGTTGAGCAAAGTTTTACTTTGGAATACTTGGTTGGGAAATAAGTGGCAATTTTTCCTGAACGAGAAAAGTTGGCAGTACGGTTGAGACACCAGTTTGAAGATGCATTATTCATCATTACATTGTAAAAATAAAATCCAAAAAAAGTTAATCTTTGTAGTAACAGGAGTTGGCAGACTGCTGTAGGGTGTGAAATTTGTATATCTTTTTCAAAGACCTATAATTTTCAAAACACATACATAAAATTTTTTTAAATATTTTTCTGATAGCTGTTATGACTTTGCCTATCACCCGGTTTCGGCTTGACGTCGACTTCTGGGACACCCTGTATATATATATATAGGTGACCCATCCATGTGTGGATGGAATATTACTCATAAACAAATACATTTTTGGAAAATCTATTTATGGCATGTTATACATGACATTTGAGGGCACATTTCTAAAATATTAGCAATTATACAGATTGTCCCAATTTTGACCTTCATATCAAGGTTGCGATTTTTTAAAGGAATGCCTCACATTTTATTGCATATTTGGATAAACCAATTCAAAAGAAGAAGATTGATATGACATACTATGGGGTTTTGGTAATTAGGTACGAAGATGTAAGGTGTTTTGTCCAGAAAAACTGTCCACTTCAGCAACCCCTCAATCCGGCATTTTGAAATTTGGAGTGCCGACTTTTGTATCAAAAAAACTTACACACTGAGGTGTTACTTTTTCGAATTTTCATTTTTGCTCATATGGGGTGGTCAAAAGCTCGAATTGTACTTTTTCTCAAAAATTTAAAATGCATCACCTTGTATATTTGTGCAAGTTTGGATTAAATTTTTCAATAAGCTTTTTTTTGGTAAAAGGTTTGATTCAGATAACATCACTAGATTTTGAGTTATTAAGCTTTTAATAGAATAACACACCAAAATTAAGGAAAAAATTCACATCATCCATGGAAACAAAAGAGAAACAGTGGGCTAGTTCCATATTGCCACTAAGAATACAGATTTGATGTAAAAACTAATAGCAATCCAAACAGCTTCAAGCGTAACAGAGAAAAACAACTATAACAACAACATAAACAACTATCATTACTCAAGACCTAATCTACAAAAACTGTTCGAAAATATCTCCACCATGTTGAATGCACAGCCGTAGTCTTTGGATAAATAACCGTTGCACATCCCTCAACAGGTATTCGCTTATGTTCAGAAAAGCATCCTTAATCCTTTTCTTCATAATTTCCGGGGGTAGATGGTGGATATCTATAAACCTCTTGCTTAACGTAGCCCCATAGAAAGAAGTGCATCGGTGTCATATCTTGTGATCCAGGAGGCCAACATATAGGCCCATCACGACCGATCCCACGATTGTTACCCTAGATGTCCAAATACACGATTATGATAATGCGCAGGTGCGCCGTCTTGTTGGAAGTACATATGCATCTGAGTTTGCAGGTTGACATCCTCCAAAAGCAAAACATTCAAGTATTCGGTACCTGTTAATCTGTTGCCGAAAAAGAAAGCCCCGATAACTTGTCTGCCAATAACTCCTCCCCAAACACTCAAGCGCCACTTATTCTGGAAATCTGCCTAACCCATGATATTGAAAGTTGCCTCATCGCTAAAAAGACCTTATCCCGGAAAGTAGTGTCTTCACTCACTTTATTTTAGCATTATTCTGCTAAACTCCATTCGAGCTGCGAAATCCTGACGAAGAAGGCTTTGATACGTGATATGGATGATACCTATGCTTGTGAATAATCCTTTGGACAGAATTTCCGCATATATCAGTTTCTGCTCCAATGTGCCGTGCACTTAAATGGCGATTTTCCTTCATCTTTAATAGAACCTCCAACCGATTCGCCTCATTAGTGACACTTCAATTATTTATAAATTTTTCACTATATTCCACTGCTCCACTTGATTCAAAACGTTCTCGTAGTGTGGAAAATGTTTCCGGCCTTGGTTGTCGCATATTAGGGTACCGTTGCTTATAAATGCGAGATGATACGAAACTATTTCTTCTTCGCCCAAAACGAACACCATATTCACCATTTCTTCTTTAGAAAAATTCATTTTCAAACACGTTTTTATTATAATGCTCAGAAAGCTAATTTTGGCAGTTTGTAACTAATCAACAATTTATTTGTTTCCAAGGATGATGCGATATTTTAGGGAATTGAGCCATTCGATCAAAGACGTGCTAATAACTGAAAAAATGGCCGTAAAAACCCTTAGTGTCTAGTATCAAAAAAAGCTTATAAAAAATTGAATCCAAACAAATATACAGGGTGATGCATTTGAAATTTTTGAGAAAAACTACAATTCCCGTTTTTGGCCACCCTATAAGAGCAAAAATTAAAATTACAAAAGGTAATAAATAAGATAAAAGTTGAGGTGTGTAAGTTTTTTTTGACACAAAATTCAGCACTTCAAATTTCAAAATGACGGACTGAGTGGTTGCCCCATAGTATGTCATATCAATTTTCTTCCTTTGAATTTGTTTATCCAAATACGCAATAAAATTTGAGGCATTCCATTTGAAAAATCACAACTTTGATCTGTAGGTCGAAATTGGGACACCCTGTATAATGATCAATATTATAGAAACGTGCCCTGAAATGTCATGTATGTCATGAATAGATTTACACAAAATGTATTTTTTATGAGTAATATTCCGTCCACACATGGATGGGCCACCCTGTATATATATATGGCTTCAGTGAAGAATTTTCCAAAGGCTTCAGAAGTCAAAAGGTCTTCAACATTATTTTTTTGTAGATTAATCTCGCATAACACACTTTGTCGATCGGGCATCAGTTCACATAAGCTTTGATCGAATTTTTAGCAGGCTGATCCACTGAAATGTATTGTTTATATCGATGTTTCAAGGAAGATGCAATTTGTCCTCGTGTTTGCCGAAAAAAGAAGAGCATGTTCCTAAAACTCGTACCTTGGAAGAGTACTCAACTAAAGTCATCAAACGTCGAAGGAATCAGCCAATATATAATAAGCAAAATGTTGATATTGATTCAAAACAAAATTGTATAAAACTGTCCTATCTGGATCTTCTGAATACTATGTATCTATATTGCTCAATATTTCGAAAGGTCAGATACAATCCCTATCTAGGATTGTATTTCTGTACCTCAGAGCTAGACTAGGTTAAGTCCAAATAAGTAGTTTTGAGAAAATTGTGTTTGAAATATTTTTCTTGCATTGTATTGTATGCGACTTGATATCAGTTAAAAAGTCGTAACTTCCTTATTATTACAGGTAGATGGATGCTGCATGTAGCAAATGAAAATTAACAAGATTATCATAAACTTAACATATTAAATTCATTTTTGACAAAAATGGACTTAACCTAGTCTGGCTCAGATTTAGAAAATATAATTCATTTCTCGTCGACAATGAGTGTCTTGCAATAATTTTCAGATTTTACCCTTTTATTCGTGTGACAAATTCATGTAACGTGTCGTCTTATCAATACGCGTGGGAAGTAATTCTTTGATGACCTCAGCTTTCTGCGAGCCTGTGGATAACAATAGTTATCTAATTTACCAACCAGTTTCACAGTATCCGCAACACATGAGCCGTAAGGGTGTGTAAAACTAGAAAAAGGGTGGTTCTCACGGTATTCTCCCAAACAGGTATATCGGTAACCAAAGAAAGGGTAAGCCGATCTTTATTTAGGTATAGCAATGATATTAGGGATCTTCTTTGGAAACATCTGGATCTCGTCGGTACGTAGGCTTTGAGATTTTGGCAACTCCAGTGTTTCATTGGTCTGAATTATTGACTCTTTCTTGGTGTTTTCACATTTATCTTGGGTATGCAAGGTTGAATGTATTGTTCAATTTCACTTAACATCAGATATACACTTTCTGGGTTACAAAGAATCATACGTGGATGGCCAATTTTTGGCTGCCACTGGTTGAGTTTTCAAAATTAATTCTGCTTTTCCATTCCTATGACAGCCAGCAAGGGATTACTGTAAAGGACCACCAGCCTTATGGGAAAAGTGATCCCGTGGATTTGCTCCAGACTTTGAGGTTGTGTTCTCGAAGTAATGCTGGTCAAATGTTCCATTACTTCAATTCGATTTATTGCGATCTGAAGGATCCAGAAGGGCGAGAAGCTGAGTATTTAAGCATTATGCAGGAAAATGAAAAATACGTCTTATCTCGCTAAGTACTTAGCTTATGATTTGAATTAGTTAATTTCATTACAGATAGTGTGAAAAAATGTTATTGCATGTCGTGCCAATCCTTACCTCCCCTTACCTAAAATTTGAAGAAATAAGGGTATTTCGCCTCAATATCTCCAAAACCTATTATGGAAATGTTGACATTTTTTAACATCTCCTCAGAATCAATCATCCCCTATAAGTTTGGTGGGCTGCATATTTAGACCATTTATCAGCAAAAAATATGATTTTGATACATTATTCCCACTAGAATATGGTACCTATTCCACCCCTATAAGGAGAATTAAATTAACTACTAGTACCACCGAGCTGGATGAAATACAATACGAAATAGAACAGATATGTTTTTAGACCCCACATGAAGTTTACGTCACGCAAAGCCATTCATTTATTTCACTACTTGGATATTTATCTCTAGTCATGAGCAAGAAAAATATCAAGATCACAAAAATATTTATGATAGGTGTATTATTTCTTCTTCGATTTTATTGAAATTTTGGTGAGTGACATTAAAAAGTAAAAAGATCATATGGCGTTAAGAGCCATGGCTTCTAATTGTGGCACAAAAAACTGAGAGATAATCATTGCACGATAACGTTAGCCATTCACTATTAGTGAATTACCTGCCTCGTCATCAAAAAAAAAAAAAAAACTCGAGACCATAGTGAACACCAAACAGTAGCACGTACTTTCTCTGTATTGTCTGCGCCCCAAATGTGACAGTTTTGCCTATTCAGATGACAATGGGCCTCATCGCTAAAAATGATTTTGTTCGCAAACTCTCTGACATTTTGTTCTCGTACGTCTCACATAATTAACTAAACCAGTACTTCAAATTTTTGGATTACTCTTTTAACAGTGGATGGGGTAGCAAAAATCTTCCGACCGAATATTTGCTGTACTTTTTGAATCGTGGCCATTAAACTTCCACCACTTTGGTAATAATTTTTAACAATCAATGATTCATTTTCATTAACTCCCGCCTGTCTACCATCGATCTATCATGTCACAATCATTATGAAATTATGATTGCCAAAATGGAGCGTAATTCAAATATTGCGTTCTTATTGATACATCCTTTATTTACCGTTCCATCCAAGACTCACTACAGTTACGCTACAAAAATTCTAAAGAATCCTGTATTCATTTAAATTCGATCGTTCACCTATTTCGATAATTTTTTTTGGGTCGCTCAAATCGGTCATCCGACGTCGGTCTCAAAGCAAACACCGCGTAATTGTACTTCTACCGATATTTTCTTCCAAGAAACGAAACAATCCCCAGTTGAAATTCCTTTGAAAACCCAGCAGATTGCTGAAATTCCTCCCTAAAAGCGCATTGTGCAACATACGAAGGGTGAATGACGATCAACGCTGGCCAGGTAGTGCTTCGGGAGAGGACAATAGTCGGTAACGCCTGAAGGTAAAGACCTAAAGACGCGCGTCCGTTGTAAAGAAGTTTAATTTGGGCGCTTTGAATAGCATTCTATAGAAGAATCCATGACTTGAGCGATCAAAGAACAGTTTATTTCCTGTTACTGTATTGCCGTGGTAAGCACAGAAGACGTGTCTGCATCTAACCTGAAACTAAAGAATGCATTCAAAGTGCGAACCTCTGATTTTCATTTACCGAGTGACCAGAAAGAATTATTTCATATTCACAGGTATCATCATAATCTCTTTTAAATAGAGATAGCTGGATTTGTTTAAAATATCAGTTCAACATTTTTACTAAGCAGATATGGCCAACGAATTCAGACTAGGTAGAACGAGCTAGTCAATGTTTGGTTGTCTCCTTATTATCATAGATCACAGTGCGCGAACTTTTTGACAGTTCTATCATTAAATTCTTAGTTTTCATGTTATTAAAAAAATGAGTCTTTGCAGATAATTGTGGTGTTAGATGATTTCAAGACGTACTACCATTTACATAGTTTGCAAAGAGCACCACAAGCCTAATGAAGGTAGATGTTTTCACCGGTATTTATTATTGTTGTGTTGATACAACGCTGTCACTTTGTAAGGCAATAGTAGACAGATGAGCCAAAAGTATGCATTAAAACTACGCAATTTCGCGACAAACAATGTAAGGTAAACATACAGGCTTGGCTTCTTTTAATCTATTCGAATCCCTTGGATATAACTAGTTAAAAACAATAACTGTTTGTTGAGATACGTTATTTTTGAATATCGGTGATACCAGATACCGTTACTTTTTGATTTCAGTGATTTTAACAATACAAAGGGTGAGTTCCGTTGATCCGCCTTAGGGGACGGATCGCGCAGTAACCGGTGCAGGTGCAGTTAGATATAAAGTGATAACTATTTCTAATATCGTTGGATATTTTTTAAAAGTTTTGTATTATATTATCGTATCGTGTATCGCGACGTACAGAAAATGATATTATGACACTTGACCAAGACGCAAAATTGTTCTTACACACGCTTATTTTGGCAGCTAATTGAATCTTTCTTTTTTTTATACCGAAGCAGCCTCGCAGGCAGAAGCCCAAATGCCGGGGCACCGCGGCTGCTATGATGATCCCAAAGAAATTTTGTTAATCCGATTTTTAAACTGCCTAAGGTTAGCAGATTTGGGAAAAGCTTCCTATTGTAGATTGTTCCACAAACTCGACACCTTTGGGTCAAAGGAGCGGTCGTATCGGCCAGTTCTGGATGTACGAAGTTCTATACGGTTAGGAGAGACCTCTGAGGAGCGAAGCCCGTTGGTGTAGCGGTAGAATAGAGCTAGATCGTCGGCGGCCATCCGGTGCGAAAGGGTCCTGAGAATGTCTGTTAGAGAAGAGTCATCGATCAGTCGGATACCCTTCCTCTGGATAGCATCGAGCATGAATAATGTATTCGGGGCGGCAGCACCCCAAACGTAAGAGCAATACTCGAGGCTAGGCCTTATCTGGGCCTTGTATAGAGTGAGAAGGTCATGCGGAGAAAAGTACTTCTTAGCCCTAAACAAATAGCCTAGCTTTTTCCCAGCAGCTGCCGCTATTGACGAGATGTGTTCGTGCCAGATCAGGTCCTCGGTGATCTGGACTCCGACCAGCCGAAATGAATGACTCTTTGACAGAACTGTGTTTTGGAAGCATTTAACTGTACAAGATTGTTGCGTCCCCATGCAGTGATAACCTCCAAGTCTCTCGTCAGAGAGGAAGTCGTAACTAGTCTTCTTTTTCCCAGCTCAGCGGCAGAGATCGGCTTGCCACTTTGAATTCCTGTATGTAGAGTGCTGTCATCAGCAAAGCTGTGGATTGGGTTGATCGTGCAAGAAAGGAGGTCATTGATCTGTAAGGGAAACAGTGTCGGAGCCAAGACCGATCCCTGGGGAACACCCGCGTTGGCGTTGTGGGATGAACAGGAGACCCCGTCAATTACGACGGATATTTTGCGGCCACAGATAAAGTCAGCCACCCATCTGCAAAACTTTTCTGGGAGGCCATAGGATGGAAGTTTGCTTTAGAGGGCAGCGAGCCACAGCTGATAGAATGCTTTCGTGATGTCAAGAGCAACGACATGAGCCTCACCATAAAACTGGATGAGTTTACTCCACAATTGCGTGTCGTAAGCTAGGAGGTCCCCTGTGGTCGCTAATCAAGTTGTGACGTCCGAGGTAGTCCAGAAGCCCGCGGTTTATGCACCTCTGCATCACCTTACTTATAACAGAAGGCAGAGCTATATGCCTGTAGTTGTAAAGGTCAGTCTTAGATACCTTTTTGGGATGGGTTGGATATGCGCAAATTTCCAGTTTTCTGGG